TTGATTTATTTATTCTATAACATTATTTACCAGTTTTGAATTTTAGTCAGCACTTATTTGGAATTAGTTAAGGGCTTTTATAGGCACAAAATTCTAATGCCATGTACGAGATGTTTGATACATTTTAGTAGAAATGAAAAACTTATAAAATTAGAAAAAAAACAGCATCGATAGATGTGAATTACTAAAGATAAATGGGCAGAATGTAATTTACAAGGTATGTAACAAGGTGCCAAATACTTTCCTTCATAAACTTTATATAGTAATCAGTGTAAAAGGTAAGCAAGCCCTCCAGTAACAGAAGGACATTAGAATAAAAACACGTAATTTTCCATGAAAAGAAATAAAAGTGATGAATAACCATAAGAAATACTGTTCAGTATAGTAGTCTCATTCTGATACAAATTAGAATGAGAAATTACTATATCCACCTATCATATTGGCAAACGTTTTGATACACTCATCCTATTGGTGGGAATGTATATATACAGTTTGTCATGAGGATAGTTTGGCAGTATCTCCCCAAACAGCAATGTAAGTTCTTTTTGACCCTGAAGTACTGTTGCTAAGTATTTACTGTTATATTATGGCTATATTTACAAATTACATAGGTATTTGGTCAAGATAGATGCATACAGTAGTCCCCCCTTATCTGTGGTATCAGCTATCTGTGGTCAACTGTGGCCTAGAAGCAGATATCTTCCTTCTGAGGTATCATTAGTAGGTCAGTAGTAGCCTGCTATGTCACAATGCCTACGTCATTCATCTCACTTCATCTTGTCATGTAGGCATTTTATCATCTTACATCATCACAAGAGAAAGAGTGAGTACAGTAAAATAAGGTATTTTGAGAGAGACCACATTCATACAACCTTTATTACAGTATATTATTATAATATATAATATAATTACTATTAATCTTGTACTGTGGTAGTATAAATTAAGCTTTATGAATGTATAAGAAAAATCAGTATATATAGGACTTCGTACTATGCATGGTTTCAGGCATCCACTGGGAATCACTGGATATTCCATGGATAAGGGGGGACTACTGTATATGGGGGGCAAAGCAGGGAGAGCTAGAGATGGATGTTTATTTCAACATTGTTTATATTAACAAAAAAACTGGAAACACTAAAGCACCCATCAAAGTAAGAATTGGTTAAATTAAATATTCACTTGATGAAGTCAGTTGTTGTAGAGTTATATTGCTGTGTCTGCTAATGTGGAAAGAGTTTACTAAATAAAAGCAAGTCTGATCCTTTAAGAAACTGCTTTTTAGAAAATACAAATGTGGTTATATGTGTTTCTTTTTTGAATGAATGAGTTACAAGACACTTGTGTTACCTTTAGGGAGAAGGATTTCAGTGGTGGTCAGCAGGGGAAGTAGGTTTTCAGTTTTTGTTATCTTTTATATGGCCTATTACTACTTATTTATGGTCTATTTATATGACCTTTTATTTATGGCTAGTCTTAATAATTACCTAACATCAATAGTCTAACTTGGTAGGGAAGTTATCCCTTATCTTCCTTTTTCTTTTTAAAAAGAAGTCTGTATAATTAAGGGGTAATTAAGTTCCTTTTTTAAAAGGTTATGTAATTAAGAAAAAATTTTGAGGGACTGTGTCTTTTGAGATGAAGATTGACCAAGGACATGTGAATTGCTCTTTTCTTTCGGTTTTGACCACTTCGCTGATTCTAAACAAAGAGATTGAGAAACATTCCATGGACTTGTGAGCTCTGTCCCAATATAATTTTAAAATCACATCACCATCCACCAAAACTACCTTTAAGATTGGTGGGTGAAGTTACCTGTTCTTTTCTTCTTCATACTGCTTTTGACTTAATGCTGTGCTCCAGCAGTGCGGGGCCCTAATATAGAAACTGGATTCAATGGACAAAGGTGTAAACAGGTAATGTGTAAGTTTTTAAGATAATGCTTCTGTGCATAGCTCTAGCATTGAAAACACTGAGAGTCATTACTTATTTTGAAATACTTATCAATTTACACAAAGTTGCAAAGATAGTACAGAGCAGCCCCAGGTATACTATTCACTGTGTTTCTCCTGATGGTAATGTCTTTCAAAACTAGTATAGTATCACAACTAGGTTATTGACTCTGATAGAATCAAAACAGAACATTCCCATTACCACAAGGATCCTTTATGTTGATTGCCCTCTTACAGCCACTTTTCTTCCACCCTACCCTCCTCAACCTCTGGCAACCACTAATCTTTCTCCATTTCTATAATTGTGTGATTTCAAGAATATTACTTAAGTGGAATCATGCTGTATGTAACAGTTTGAGATTGGCTCTTTTCACTCAGCACAGTTCTCTGGAGGTAATCCATGTTATTGCATGTATGAATAGTTCATTCCTTTTTATTCCACAAATGGTATTCCATGGTATAGATGTACCAAAGTTTATTCACCTATTAGAGGATATTTAATGGTTTCCAGTTTTTGGCTTTTAGAAATAAGTTGCTTTGAACAATAGTGTACAGTATTTTTATGTGGACATAATGTCTCTTTCTGATCCTGGTAATTTTCTTTTTGGAGTCTTTTTTATCTGGTAATAAGGCAGAAAACAGTCACTCTACTTCTTTAAAAAATTAATGTTTACATGGTATTTTTCTTTCCTGTCTTTTTATTATCAACCTGCCTGTGTTGTTTGTATGTGCAGTGAGTTTCTTGAAGATAGCATATAGTTAGTATGGTCATGTTTTTCTAATCCACTCTGACAATCTGTGTCTTTTGTTTCATTTGGAGCATTTATATTTAATTATTGACATACCAGAGCTGAAGTATTATATTTTTTGTTTGTTTTCTGTTTTTTGTTTTCATTTTCTTTTTCCAGTCTTCCTGTGGGTTATTTGAACCTTTCTTAGAATTCTGTTTTGATTTATTTATAGAGTGTTTGAGCTTATCCCTTGGTATATAGCTTTTTAAATGGTTTTGGCACTCTCCAGTACCTGCAGATACTTGTTTATATATTTTGATCTAAGTTTACAGTTGTAATCTGCTGATCCAAAATCAGCATGCTCAGTCCTATAGAAAACTGCTCAGTATTACTTAAATTATATTACACCATATAGCATATTGTGAACAAATTTAAAAGTAGAGTCAGCAAATCCCACATAGAAGCTCTAGGAGATTAAATATCTGGTATGTTTCTAGGGTACTGGGAATAGGAATAAAGTACTTTGAAAAAAATATGTTTATTCTGATTTCTAATGAATCTATATTTGATAAAGTTTCTTTATTTTTAATACTTTAAAAATAAAGTTAGTTGCATATTAGCAGTATGCAGAACTCAGTGCTGTAGGGTCATAATTACTTGTCATTTTTTTATCTATTAAATCTATTCTTTACCCTCTATTAGATTTTTCACTTCTAGACTTTAATCCAGTCTGTTAACTCATTGCTGGCTACATTAGACTATTTATTCAGTTTGGAAGCTATAGCCATAATAAATTCTGCTCTAAATTCTCCTTGATCTTGTGCTGTGCCTCCTCTCAGATTAGCAATACTTCATACTCCTCTTGATTAGCTTTAACAAGTGATTGGAGGAAGAATGGTAAACTTACCACGTAATAGGATGTTGGCTGCTGAATTACAACTGATACTTTGGCATTTCTTGGCATTCCTTTTTTTTTTCCATTTTTAAAACTTTATTTGGAAATAACTTCTAATTTACAAAAAAATACAAGAATATTACAAAGAACACTAGTATACCCTTAACTTTTTACTACATTTGCTTTAAAGTTACAGTATATGTGCATATGTTTATCTGTGTATAGTTTTTTAACCTGATCCACTTGGGCATAAATTATATACATAATGGCCCTTTATCCCTAAATAGTTAAATGTATAGTTCCTAAAAGTAGGAATATTCTCTTACCTAACCACAAAAGCATACTTAGAGAAGCACCCCTTCTTCCTGTATCCCATCTCCATTGCCCTCCTTTACAGGTAACTAACTTTATTTTGTTCTGATTTATCCTTTCAGTGGGTTTTTCCCATAAAGTTAACCTATACATTTTTAAATTTTCCCTTTCTTACTTAAAAGATACTATACTGTATATATTTTTTATAGTGCCCTTTTTTCAGTTACTAGTATTTCGTGGAAGTCACTCCATACCAGTTCATGGACACCTTTCTCATCTTTTTTAAACAGGTGCTGCATAGTACTCTGTTTTGTGTATATACCATTGTTTATTCAACTATGCTTGGATATTTAGGTGCTATCCAATAATTATGAGTTAAGGTGGTCTTTGATGAATAACCTTGTTGCATATGTATTTTTAAGTTCTTTGGGATGGGGTGTATCTTTGGTTTAAAAATCCTAGAAGTGGAATTCCTGCGTGGAAGACTAAACACATATGTATTTTTGTTGGATATTGTTTAATATCTCCCTGTAGGGATTATACTATTTTCTATTTATATCGGCAAAGTATAAGAATACATTCCCCACAGCTTTGCCAACAGTGTATTTTCAAGATCTGAATTTTTGTCAGTCTCATGGGTAAGCGATGATATTTTAGTGTAGCTTTGACTTTCTTGGTAGTCTATTATTATTTTTGTGTTTTTGTACTTTATTTTGATATATATTTTTATTAACTTAAGCTGTCCTCTAATTTCACCACCTCTCTTCCCCAGATACACAGTCTTGTGCTTTTACTTCTTCCCTTTGAAGACTTGGGTGAAATTTTGGTTATCTACATAAGTAACTGTTGGCATTCCTACTTGAACACCTATTCTCTTCTATGAATGTTTCTCCTGTTAACATTTTGCAGTGCTTTTTGCAGACATCTGAAGCATGAAATATGATCTAAAGCTAGTTAACTAAAAAGATGTAATTTTCCCACAGTGTTAATAATTTTCTTGATCTGTTGATATTTGATGAATAATATAGACACTCATTTATAGTGAAGGCTATTTTGCTAATCTTTAATATTTTTGTAGTTGGAGCCATCATTAAATATTTTTTTCCCTCATAGAACATTCCTGATGTGGATGAAGAAGGCTATAGTATAAAACCAGAAGCAAATCAGAATGATATCCTTTCATCATCTGGATATTCTTATGGGTTGTATTGGCATATAAGTAGACAGCTAAAACAAAAGAACCTATTGTTTAATAAAGACTTCACATACATAAATGTAATAAAACATTATTCCGTATTCATTTGACATATTTTTATTAATACAAGTTAGTAGTTATATTTCTTTTAAAGTCCATCTTATCTCTTAAAGGTGTTCCTCCTCTTTATAATGTGTGAAAAACTTGTTATGCATTAACATAATTTGAAAACTAAGTTCTTTAACTGATACTCACATACCAAAGAGAACCATTTCTACTCATCTAGTGATTCAGATTCTGAAGATGAAGAACCAAAGAAGTATCGGATAGAAATCAAACCTGTGCATCCAAATAACTCACACCACACAGTGGCTTCCTTGGATGAGTTAAAAGTATCTATAGGAAATATCACACTCTCCCCAGCAGTATCTGTAAGTAAAAAAATGATGAGCAAGTCTGTGTGCCTTCTTTGGAGCCTTTTTTTCCTGGTCTACCTGCCTAAAATCTGGTTAATTTTAGGAATCATAAAAAGTAAAGCATCATTTATAGTGAATATAAATCCAATAGCTAAGCATATTGGATGAGGAAATAAATATATAATCTTTTTATTTTAGTTTTATACAGGCTAATGAACTTGTAAGTTTGACTTAGTTTTGCTTCTTTCTGAAAGTGTTGTATAAAGAAGCAAAAATGTAGAAAGTCCACTATTTCTGTCATTTGTTGTATTTATAAACAGTGCTGTATGTCTCAGGCAGAGTTTTGTGAACTGGCAGTGTTAATCTTTTCCTCAGGCAAGGATCAAGACAAAGTTAAGAATTCTTAGTGATACTGGTTGATCCCTCAATTCTTAATACCATAGTTAATAGTTTTTGATGGAGAAAAGAAACACCATAATATATCTTTCCACTGATATCATACTCTAAATTCAGAAATGTTAAACTATGGGAAAGAAGTATGTCTGAGAATGACAATTCAGTATATATATTCATGCTTATCACAGTTGATATTAAACCTCTTCTCCTTCATAATAGAGAATAAAAGTTTTTGCCATTTCATATTGTCACTCAATTGTATATTTTAAGCAGTCACTGCCTTTGTTTGAAAAAAAAAAAGTTTTTCTTCCAATCATGAACTTTTAGAATTTAATTTTAGAAGTATTTCTTTCAACCAAAAATAGAGTTCTGAAATGAGGTTTTATTCTACCATTATTATTTAATATTAATTCCAAGAATAAATTATGGTATATATATATGTGTAATAAGAAGTTAAGAAACTATTAAAATTTTTATTATGTAAGAGCATAAGTAATTTAAAATAAATATGTAAATAAATAAAAAGCCTAAAGGAATATATACTAAAATGTTAGACATCTGTGTATGGGTAGCTAATCACTGATGGTTTTAAGTTTTCTCTTTCAGCTCTTCTCCCTTTTCTATTGTTTAAAAAACAGTGAGTCTCATACCCAGAAAATACATAACAAAATTTTTAATACTTAACAGTGGGTTAGAAAAAAGGATATCATGAGTATATTTTGTTGCCCAGTTTGCTTAAGTTTTACATCCTTCCCCTCTAAATAATGTGTATGTTTTAAGGTGTATAGATTTTACATATGATCCAGAAGGAAATAGACAAATCATTGGAGCAGGAAAATATGGTATTTTAAATCATAAAATAAATACTATGTCTTCTTTTTCTCTCCATGTACTACTAGAGACACAGTCCAGTAAGTCCAAGATTTTATATTTTTACCTATTGACTTAAAAAAATGATTTTCAAAATATTTGTTAAAATTTTTAATTAGCAAGTTACAGTATCTTGTTGTAGATGTTAATATTTTTAAATATTTATTGAGTGTTAAAAGTATGTATTTTTACTATAAAGCAAAAACTATTGGAAGTTCTCTATATATCTTTTTATGTAAATACTGTATATAATTGAGCAGATATACTAAAAACAAATTAAAATTAGGTTTCCAATATTAACATTTTATAAAATATTTCATTACCAAATTAAATATTTATTTAATGACAATTAGTTTTGCCTTTTTTTTAGGTGCAGATGAATCGGAATTTGTCTAGTAAGTTTGATATTTAAATTGATTATTTTGGCTTTGATGATGCCTGAAAAATGTTATAGCTGTGTATTCAAGTTTAAGGCATGTCTAATTGCTAGAATAATAGAGATATGCTGTCTTCTATTTAAAATAAGTATCCTTCTAGTCTGTCATTATGGCTCATAATGACAATAGACCATTTATTTCTATAATTTTATATGTAAGGTTACAAGCTTAGCAAATTATGTGATAAATTTAATAGACATTAAGAGTAGCTTCTGTTTTAAGAATGTTAAACTGTTTAACTGGTATAACTGCCTCATGAACTGGAAGGCATTTATGAGCAAGCTTTATTAGCTTTACCTATTTTAAGTCATGGCACAATTGCTATTTCTATTACATAGTATTTTAGTATAATAACAATTATACTAAAAACATTTTGGGGGTGTTTTTAGTATAAAGGTGTCTATTACATAGTATTTTAGTATAATAATTATACTAAAAACTTTTGGGGTGTTTTTAGTATAAAGGTGTAAACATCGTTTGCAGAATATGCATTAAAAATAAGGTCGTGGGAAAAACAGCTGAGTCAGCATACTCAAAACCAATGCAGTCTTGTAAAAACAGTGTCTAATAATATTAAACTATAACACCAATCCTAATAAAAATTCCAGCACATTTAGAAAGACCTACAAAATGCATAATGAATATACCAAACTGAAAGTAGGATTTTACTTTTAAAAAAGAAATGATGAGTAGGTTGATGATAGGTGATGTAGGCAAGAAGGAAGCTACTTCTTTGGAGTTAGGAGATGAGGGCAGATTGCAGAAAGATGGAACACAGCACAATAATGCTAATGAAATGATTCACATTACAAATGCAAAAAGTAGCAAAACACTATTTGTAGACTCTTGCTGTAGGTTGCAACAAAAATTCTAATTTTTCAAAGTAGGATGTCCTTCAAGGATTAATAACTATTTTTGGTCAAGATAAAATAATCACTAATAATAGTCTTAGAACATGAAAAATGCTTTATTATTCATCAGTTAAAATTCTTGAATAATACCTACATAAGTATTTAAACATTTGTTCTAATTTTTAAAGTTGTGGTTCATGTTTTTTTCTTCTGAAACAGCAATTGCATTTTAATGAATATGATAGTTTAGTTATATCTTTTTATTAAAGATGTTGGAAGAAATGAAGATTTAGCTGAAATTCAGCTATTATTTTGTAATTTTAAGCAAGATAGAAACTTTGTTACTTATTTTCCTTTTCTTCATGAATTTTAAAAATTACATTTGTTATTAATTTCAGAATTTTAAAATTGTTGATAGTAATGAGATGTGTGTGGTGTTTCTCTTAGCTTTAAAATATTTTATTGCTCAGACTATGAATTTTTCTTAATATTTCAACTCTTAATTAGGTGAAGAGTTAACAAAATCTAAGTCATCTGTAGCATCCAATGAGTAAGTTCCTGTTTAAATTTATTTCATTTATCATTTTTAAAGATATTCAGTGTTGTAAAACTTTGTTTTTGGGTATCATTTATGCAGTTGTGATTCCAGGCTTCATCATACAATATGTAGTGCATCCATCTAGGTGCATTTGAGACAGTAGATATGTGCTTATAAATAATTGTAACAATTTCATTTTAGTGGGCACCTTTTCTAATATTTTTTTAAGTTTAAAAATGTTTTAAAAGGTTGAAAAAAGCAGTGGTAGTTTGATACATTAAAATACTGTCTCAGTATGGAGTAATCTTTTTATTCATACTTTAAATTTTTGTCAATCATACCTCAGTAAATATGGAAAAAATTAATAGAGGTGTTGGCAAAGGTCAGGTGCATCAGAGTCTTAAGAGATTAGACATCTTAAAAGGGGTGTGATTCAAATGAAAGAGAGAAAAGATTCATATAAAACTTTATGTTAAATAAAGAGCTAGGAGTCAAATCCCGAGAGTAAGCAGTCCAATGGATTCCAAGAGGTCTGGAGGAAAATCTTTGGTTATGCAGCATGATAAGGTTTTGAAATTAGAATGTTGATGCTATTTTGATAATTTTGTCCATAGTCATGGTTACCTCTCATAAAAAGGCACTAATGACCAAACATTTTGCCAGACTGCTTTAGTGGTCCAGGGAGTGAATTGCCAAGGGAGAAATCCTACCCATGAATGATTCTACAGTAATCAGACCTTTGAAGTTTGTATCAAATAGCCAGGCTTAGTTCTGTACTTGAGAAGTACTTTTAAAAAAATCCTTTTCATCTTTGAAAATAAATATGTCCTTGGAAAATTTCTATCTGATTTCATAACACTTAAATTTTCTGTCCAAGTCTTGGTGCTATTTGTGAATCAACAGATTTGACACGATTGTAGAATTAAGTAGCTATGTGCCCTTCAGCAGCTCATTTAGATTCAAAGTACTGCTTTTCTTCAGTTGTAAAGCTAAAATTTTCCCATTCTGGCAACCCCTAAGATTGTTAAGAGTATAAGAAGGTGTGATCAGTGGGGATTAATCTTCTCTCCTCTGCCAACATCATACAATGTTATTGTAGGTTCAGCTTCTAGCAGTTAACAAATACTACTTTATTAAATCTGCTAATTGAGTTTCTTTTTATGTTCCATTGGCAGAATATCCAACTTTTTAATTATATATAATGAGCTGTTATAATTCCATAAAATAAAAATAAGTGACTAGGTTTTTCACTAATAAAATACTCCTTTGTTAAAATCCTTATTTTTAAAATGTTACGATAGGAAAGGGACCAGTGATTTACTTGCTTGGGACCCCTTGTTTGGACCATCTCTTGATTCATCTTCAGCTTCATTAACTTCATCATCATCATCAGGTGAATATGTATACACATATATGTACATTTTTTTAAACTGAGGAATGCATTAGTTACTGCTTTTTCTAATTGATTTATTCATTGTATGTGTGTTGTAATAAATGGTAAATTTTTTTAAGCTTGTTCTCTGATCATATTACCAGATAAAAGTGGTTTTATACTGGTTTTGTTAGCTTAAAGATCCTATAGCTTAAATGAACATGTGGCAAGCACCAGTTTTTTAAAATTTATGTATTTTTTCCCTAGGCATCATTCCCATATCAATGCCTAAATAATTCTTATTGTTTATAGGTAATTCAACTGCATATATGTACATTAGTATAACCAGTCCTTTCTCGATGGACGTTCAGGTTGCATCTAATTTTCTAGTATTCTGAACATCCATGGATAGAATGAATTTTGTGCATGTCTCATAATATCTTTATAATAATTTATCAATGCAAGATTGAGTCATAAGATACGCTGTTAATACTTATTGCCAAACTGCTTTCCAGAAAGGCTTTAGCACTTACCAAGCAATGTATAAAAGAACTTGATGCATGCTTCTTAGTTGTTGTTTTGGCAAGAATATGTTTCTTTTTTCTTCAAAATATAAAGTCCCATTAGCCAACAGTCAAAGCAGGTATCAGAACTGTATGTTTAATAAAATCACTGTGTGTTCAAAGCAAAAAAAATAAAGTCATTTTAAGTTGCTCTTTAACCTTCCTTGGGGATTTCAGAAATGCTGTATAGTATTTGGGGTCAAGGGAGTGCTGGAATGGTGGGGAGAGAACTTGAATTGATTGAGTTCCTGCTGTGTCACTGCTAGGAGCTACACACATTCTATTTAATTTCATCTGCTTAAAATTAAGTAGAAATTAATAATTGCTGCATGAAATCCTTATTATTGTTCTTGTTTTATAAATGAAAGAAGGAAAGGTCAGAAATGATCAGAAACTTCTCCAAGATCATATAATAGGAAATGATGAAGCATAGATTGAAACCTAGATTGAACCTTGAATCTTACTATTTCTAAAATCTTTGTTCTATGCATTACATTCTGGTAGGTTAATTAAATAATAAGCCATGCTGTAACATTTTACTACTAATAATAAAAACTAGTATTTAAAAATAAACTGTTTAGAAACTAATATTTTAACAAGAAATTATAAATGGATTTTAGGCAACCTTTACCCAAAACTATTTGGAATTCTGAAGGGAAGTCAATCTGTACCTAATAGTTGTAAAACAGCAATCAACAGATATTTGAACATATTCCCTTTCCCTTTGGTAACTGCTAGTCCCTTCTTGGAGTCTATGAGTCTGCTTCTGTTTTGTTCCTTCAGTTTTGCTTTGTTGTTATACTCCACAAATGAGGGAAATGATTTGGTACTTGTCTTTCTCTGCCTGGCTTATTTCACTGAGCATAATACCCTCTAGCTTCATCCATGTTGTTGCAAATGGTACGATTTGTTTTCTTCTTATGGCTGAATAATATTGCATTGTGTATATGTACCACATCTTCTTTATCCATTCATCTGCTGATGGACACTTAGGTTGCTTCCATTTCTTGGCTATTATAAATAGTGCTGCGATAAACATAGGGATGCATATGTCTTTTTGAATCTGTGATCTTGTTTTCTTTGGGTAAATTCTTAGGAGTGGAATTCCTGGGTCAAATGGTATTTCTATTTTTAGTTTTCTGAGGAACCTCCATATTGCTTTCCATAATGGTAGAACTAATTTACATTCCTACCAGCAGTGTAGGAGAGTTCCCCTTTCTCTGCATCCTTGCCAGTATTTGTTGTTCCTTGTGTTTTGCATGTTGGCCATCCTAACTGGTGTGAGGTGATACCTCACTGTGGTTTTAATTTGCATTTCTCTCATGATTAGCGATGTGGAGCATCTTTTCATGTGCCTGTTGGACATCTGAATTTCTTTGGAGAAGTGTCTGTTCAGATCCTCTGCCCATTTGTTGATCGGGTTATTTGCTCTTTGGTTGATGAGGCATGTGAGTTCTTTATATTTTTTGATGTTAATCTCTTATCAGATGTCATTTACGAATATATTCTCCAATACTATAGGATGCCTTTTTGTTCTACTGATGGTGTCCTTTACTGTACAGAAGCTTTTTAGTCTGTTGTAGTCCCATTTGTTTTATTTTTGCTTTTGTTTCCCTTGCCTGAGGAGATGTGTTCAGGAAAAAGTTGCTCATGTTTATATTCAAGAGATTTTTGTCTCTATTTTCTTCTAAGAGTTTTGTGGTTTCATGACTTACCTTCAGGTCTTTTATCCATTTCAAGTTTACTTTTGTGTATGGAGTTAGACAGTAATCCAGTTTCATTCTCTTATTCCAACACTTGCCTTTTCTTGTCTTTTGGATAGTGGCCATTCTAACTGGGGTGAGGTGATACCTCATTGTGGTTTTGATTTGCATTTCTCTGATTATTAGTGATGTGGAGCATCTTTTCAAGTGTCTGCTGTCCATCTGTGTTTCTTCTTTGGAAAAATGTTCAGGTCCTCTGCCCATTTTTTAATTGGGTGATTTGGGGTTTTTTTTGGTGTTGAGGTGTATGAGTTCTATGTGCAGATGACAGGATATTATATATAGAAACCCTAACAACTCCACCAAAAACTATTAGAACTAATAACTGTATTCAGCAAAGTTGCAAGATACAACATTAATACAGAGAAATCTGTTGTATTCCTATATAGTAACAATGAACTGGCAGGAAGAGAAATCAGGAAAACAATTCCACCTACAGTTGCATCAAAAAGAATAAAATATCCAGGAATAAACCTAACCAAGGATGTGAAAGACCTATACTCTGAAAACTATAAGACACTCACTCATGAGATAAAGAAGACACAAATAAATGGAAATCAATTTTGTGCTCATGGATAGGAAGAATTAATATTGTCAAAATGAAACAAACAAAAATGGCCATACTGCCTAAAGCAGTTTACAGATTCAGTACAATCCCTGCCAAATTCCCAACAGCATTTTTCAGTGAACTAGAGCAAATAATTGTAAATTTCATATGGAACCACAAAAGACCCCAAATAACCAAAGCCATCCTGAGACAGAAGAACAAAGCTGGATTATTACACTGCCTGACTTCAAGCTATACTGCAAAGCTACAGTAATCAAAACAGTATGGTATTGGCACAAGAACAGAACCAGATCAATGGAACAGTGAGACACTTTGTTGAGTAACACATATACACAGCACATCACTTTGACACCTTGTCAGATTTTTACCAACTGTTAGAGTTACCTTATACTCCTTTGTGAAAACAGGAATAATTCTGGCTTTATATATTTTTGGACCCTCAGTTTTACTCACTTGCATTTTAAGTTTATTATATCCTTATTTTCCTCAGTTAATACAAAGTTTGAGCTCATGCTCTTCATCCATATATTAAATTTTTCTGTTTTTGAGTAATTAAAATAACATTAACTTGACAGAAGATAATTATCTGGCTATATAGATTCATATTTTAGTTATAGAATTTTTCTGTTGCTTCTGATATTCAGTTGTTTTACTGTCCTTCATCTGACCTTAATAAGCAGAACAGGAACTCTTTCTCTCCCATTGATTTGTCTGGGAATATGGCAATTGAATCTTTTCTCAAAACCAGGTCAGATTCTGGGTCTAGGAAGCCAGTCACCAGGTATATGTCTATTAACCCTCTATGCTCTCCTGCTGTAACAGTACCACCAAAGAGACAAGTTTCCTTGTGCTTCATGGTTGCAAAGTCGGTGGATTTCCTTTACCGATGAACTTCTTACAGTTACATCAGTGGATCTCAGAAGTCATTTCAGAGATTGCATTGTAAGACTGAAAGTACCTTTGGACCTTGTTGCTTTTCATGAAGATCTTCCAACAGCTGTGTCTGTGAAGATCAAAGTCACCTTTGCCATAGTATTATGAATCCTCAAAAATTACTGCCAGAAGCACCTAACAGTGCTGATTTTTCTTCCATATCGTCATCTAGAGTCATGGATTCTAGATTAGTTTTTGCCTTTGTTCATGTAAAGAATGGTATGGTAAATATGTTGTCTGTTTACCTCAGGTAGTGTCAGAGGACCAGTCTTGATTAGCTCTTATCTCCAATGTGTTTATACTTTACACGTCACTTCATATTTCTTGAAATACTGCATTTAATAGATATTTCTTAGAAGTGAGGCCTACCATCACCACCACCACCACCAAAACACAGAACACAGTTAAGACACTTAAGCGTGTAAACAATTGTAGTAATCATTTTCAAAGGCTTCTAGAAGAAGTTCCTAATTGGCATTGCAGATGCATTCATTTATAATTTATTAATTTGTTAATTTGTAGCTAATAGATTCATTTGTAAACTGTAGTATATTAATAAGTATTGTTATTAGCTTTCCTCAAAAAGCAAATTCTGCTTATATGAAGTAGCTGAACTTCACACTTATACCAGGCTTGGTTTGAGTCAGTCTGATTTGGACAGGCCACTTGATCAGTAATGACCTTCAGGTGTAAATGACTCTACTTCGTTAATCTCTCAGAAGCTTGAAATAACTTGAGTATTGGTCAGTGCTGGTTTTGCTGATAAACATATCTTTAAATAAGTCATAGCACAGGGAAGTGTTATAGTCCTTAGGTTGGTATAAGAGTTTTTCCAGTATACAGCTTAAAGCAGGAGGGCAGCATGAAAGAACTGGTGCTGATGGGAAGAAGGCTGCAGCCTTAGAGTCTGCACTTGATTTCTTACCTGTTTGTCATTGTTTTCTTAAAGCAACCTGAACTATGCTTTTATCTTTTATCCCTTCATATGATGTGGTTTGTAAACAATTCCATACCTCCCCTTCCTCCCCCCATACATTTATTTTCACTCCTGTGTAGCTGCCTTTTTCTTTAGGTCTTTTCCTACCTTCCTACCACCTTCATGCACATTACTTTCACGCCTCCAGTTTTCCATTGTTGACCAAGGGTCCTCAGCTTTACTATTTGTTTCCCCTTGTATATACTTAGGTCTCTTCATATATTTAACTTTGCATATCTGTAAACTTCTGGAACTTACTGAAATATATTTCTTCCTATCCATACTATATAGCCTTCAGTATGAATTACAGCCCATTTTTTAGAATAGACCAACGAGATTTGAAAATCATTTTAATTAAAGATGACTTAAACATATTTACTTCCATTTTTCATTCTTCATGACTTGAATTCATTAATTCCTATTATGATGAGTTATTTTTTATTAGAAATACTGAGGTTAGTATTTCTGGTGTATAAAATTGCAAGATTTGCAAGTGTCATTGAAAAATAGTGAACACTAAATTTATATAGGATTTGTATATTTTCTGTACTTAACAATTATAGGAATTTGAGGAAGTTTTTTAGTAGACTTAATTAAAAGTATTAAAAATATCACCAAAAAAATGTTATAGTATGGTTCAACTTAAAATATATTATAAATTTAACTAAGGTAAGTATTTTATTTAGAGTTCATGTTGTTATTCTGAAGGTGTTTCTTCAAAGGCTTTGTCCTGAATTACTGTCTTTAAAGTAGATGTATTGGCAATAAACTTAAGACCTTTGGCCTTAAATTGGTTTATTTGCACCAGCTAATTTATCAGATTAATTTTTAATATCTATAAATAATTGAAACAAGAATACAGTTTATATTACATATGTCAGGTTTATTGAAAAGTTAATCTTTTTTTCCAGGAATTTTATTGGTAGCTTAAAAAACAGCATTATTTGATAGACTCCCAGTATTTTAACAAATACCTATAAATTACGTTTAAAAACTATGAAAAATGAGCTTTGAATCCTAATAGTTCCTTTATAGTAGAATGTCTTTATGTAAGGATTACTACATACTAATGATTTTCTTTAAATTCTCTTTTTCCCTTCTCCCAGCCAGGCCCACAACTCCTCTTTCTGTAGGCACCATTGTCCCACCTCCAAGGCCTTCTTCCAGACCAAAGCTTACTTCAGGCAAACTCAGTGGGATTAATGAAATAGTATGTACTCAGGTGTTGTTTTTGTTTTTAAAGTTATAACTGTTTTGATTTAAGATGCAAATGATATTTTTCTATATGCCCCTTTACAGTTAAATGCTTGGAATTTTTTTCTGGAGGTTTTCTTAGTGGACACTTCCTTCATTCCCCCATGGTATCTCTGATTATATCTCTGGAGCAAGACATTGTGCAGGAAGAAAGAGATTTCCTGTGAAAGTTGGCACATTATAAAAATACCATTCAGTACCTGTTTCACAATTAAGAAACAATTTTCATATAATTCTGCTTAAAGTCAACTATTAAGGAAGAAATGGTGATCTGTTCCTAGGCCTTAGAAATATACTACCAGGAGAGTCCTAGAGGGCATCTAGTCCAGCTTTATTTGTACCTAAGGAAACTGGAGGTCATGTGACTTAACTGACTTTGAAAAAGTACATACTGCTTAAAAAAAAGCATTAGTCTATAATAAAGTCAGATAATCAAAGAAAAAAAATACATGGGTTCTATTCAGATGAGGTCTCCAATCTGTCCTGCTTTAACTTTTACACTAATTGCTAGTTTATCAACATCAAATTTCTCAAAGTCAAGCTTAATCTGCTTTTCAGCCTGATATACATCTCCAGTTAATGTTTTAGCTTAATATACAAGGCTCTTCATAAATAGTTGCTTCAACAACCTGTATTACCAAACTGTCTAACTTATCCCCTTTGCAACCTATGTTCCAGCCACTCAGAACTTTCCACTGTTCTCCAAAAACATCATGCTTTTATGCATCTATGCTCCCTCTATTTGAAATGAACTGCACTCCCTCTATTTGAAATGAACCCCCCGTTTTCTATGTAGGAACTTGCCCTCTTTCTTTAGGACCCAGCAGGTAGCACCACTTAGGTAAAACCATTTTTGATCATTACTTCTCTCCCTACAGTGGATTTAACCATTCTCTTCCTTATACCCATATACTTTGCTGTATTTCTCTTAGTGCACAAATTATATATATATATGTTGTGTTGCTCCCCCCTCTCTGGATGTGCCTTAGACTGTTTCATATCCTTAATACTTTGCATGATGCCTGTTACATAGTACACAGTTAGGAATGTTTCATGAGTAAATGAACAGGTTTGAGCACCAAGTGTTGAAATGGTGACGTCTTTCTTTACCTCCTAGCCCAAAGGACAGGTTTAGTGGAAGTGAAATGAAAGACTAAGTATAAGCTGCTAAGGAGATAGTTATTATTTAAGTAATATAAAAATTACTGCATCTTAATAGCATGGGTTTTTTTTCCTGTTTACAAAAGAAGTATATGATCATGTTGTAAAACTGAGAAAATAGAGAAAACAGAAAATTCTGTATTTCACCACCTGAAGGTAACCAATTAATATTTTTATATGTATATCATTTAATTATTTTTATGAATGCATAAGTATTTATTTATCCAGGGGCAGTAAAATATAGTTGTTAAAAGCACAACTTAATAGCCACTAATTACCAGAGTAGTATTAGGAAAGCTATTTATTCAGAGTATCAATTTCCTATGAGTAAAATAGCTATAATGGTAATGGGTGGTTGTGAGATTTAAACGTTTTTATATACAAAACACTTAGAACATTGTTTAGTGCAATTAATTGTTCCAAAAAGTTATTATGAATGATACATGTATATAAAGGTCATACTTTATGTGTTTGTTCTTCACTTGAAAATATTTTAGGAATGTCTTTCTATATCATGAATTATTCCATAGTTTTCAAACTTTTTTAAAGTGGTAGGATCCTTTGCCAAATAATCTTAAATTATAAGCCTATTAAATAAGTAAAAGTGGGACTTTCATAGTTGAATCCTTCATGTTAACTTTCACTCCCTGGACCCAGCATCAGAGCCTTCTAAGAAACACCCTTATGGGCTTCATCAAACAGTGTTGGAAATGGCTTCCACATATAAATTCTCTGTCTTCGATACCATTTTCCACACTATTGTCACCATTAAATTTCCAGAAGTTTTCAGAAATTTGATTATATAATAAAAACTCACAAATAAACAGTGTCTTAATGAATATCCTTCTCTGTATTTCTTTGCAGACACTATTTTCTTAGTAAAAATTTTAAAAGTGAAATCCATGAACTAAGTGGGTCTTGATGATTATTGCAGTATTGTCCACTAGAAAGGTTATGCTGATTTGAATTCTCTCCATTTGAACATTGTAGTGCCCTTTCCTTGTTTCTGTGTACATTTTTCTGGAGAAAGGGCTCATACATTTAATAGATGCTCAAAAGCTCTAAAACCACACCCTTCCCACACTGCTACAGAGAACCCGCCATTGTTCTAGAGCAATGATTCTCAAAGTGTGGTCCCCAGACTAGCAGCGGCATTAGTTTCACCTGGGAACTTGGTAGAAATGGATAGAAATGCAATTTCTCTGGCTTTACCCCAGACAAATAAAAAGTGCTGGGGAATGGCCCAGCATTTGTGTTTCATTTACCAGGCCCCCTGGGGGATTCTGCTTCATGTCATTGTTTGAGAACCACTCTTCTTAGGCAGTGCTGTGCAATAGAAATATAATGCAGGCCACATTAAAAAAGTAAAAACAGTGAAATTTAACATATTTTGTTTTACCCAGTATATAAAAATATAATTTTAACATGTAATCAATATAAAAATTATAGAGAATAGACACATTCTTTTTGTGTGTATGCCAAGTCTTCAAAATCCATTGTGTATTTTGCATTTACAGCTCATTTAAAATTTGAACTAGCCACATTTAAATGCTAGTTGTTACTACACTGGACAGTGCCATTCTGAAGTAAGAGAAAAAAATCACTTGAGAAAAGAGCTTTTTCTGCCTTTTCCTAAAAAAATATAAATGCACATTCTAAACTGTAAAAATGCATCCTCATGATGTTGGTCATGAAGCCATGTTGCCACGGAAGAAATGTCTGCCATAGTAATTGATCAAGACTTTCCAAGCTTGTAAGTCTAAGGTCATCTTTTGAATTTAATATTAGACCTCATGTCCTGTACCACCTCCATATATATACAGACAAAAAGCTGCATTTTTATTTTTACACCTTACTGTATTTTTTTTCTACTTATTGTTCACAATAATGAGTCATGAAAAAACCGTGCTCTGGAATGAACGGTTTAAAAGTAGTTAATAGATTTTTTTTTAAAACCAATATTAAAACACTTTGGGCAGTATAATTCAATGTTTATAAAAGTGTGTATCTGTAAATTGATACTCACACAATGAAGAGCTGACTAATTTTAGTGAATGAATGCTTACAAGGTTTTGTTTTTGTCATTTATTTTCCATTTCTTTCAAATAACTCAGGACAGGAACAATATCTTTCTTGGTCACTACTCTATATGTAGTACCAAACCATGGTCTAGGGAGTAAATAAACACTGTATTTAGTTAAAACTTTTAGAAGCAGGAAAAGGTTATTTTTAATAAGCTAAATAATGTATTTTTTTAATGTAACACCTCAGGAAGTGTTACTAATGTATTATTGGAACAATTAGGAATTTGAAAGGAAAAACTATTCACTAAGTTAAAAAATCAATTGTAGTTATATTTCACTCTTTATGTTCAGAAAAGTGGGAACACAGTAGAATTAAGATTTTCTTAAGCCTCTTTATGGGGTGAACTCAATGAGGAGTCATTACAAGGAATTACAAAGGAAAATGTAGATAGGTTTGTAAACACCAAAAGTAAAGGAGTAAGCAATGTTTAGGGAGAACATTTTTACAGCAAATACAGCAAACAGTGAAAGCTAAGGTAATACTAAGAGTTCCCAAAACTAAATTGGACAAAGCTAATACACACAATTCACAAGGGAAATGCCAATTTTATTTGTACCATCTAATCAGCTAAAAACTTTTTAAAAATTAGATTTCCTACTTATAACTCTCATCCATTCATTGCCAGGAACAGTGCAGAAAAATATTCTCTTACGTTTATAAGCAATAGGATAAAGTGAGTAATCCTTTTGGGAAGCAGTTTGGTAGTATGTATGAAAAGTCTTTATACTGTTTAATAATTTAACTTCTGAGAGTCTGTCTTAAACATACTTTTTAAAATACAGAAAATGTTTTATGTACCAAGATTCTCAATAGGATTATTTTTAAATAGCCTTTCAGCTTTTAATATATTCTTGAAAATGACTTGACCTATGGCATCTTTAATTGTAGCTTAATAATAACAATAAATTTGGTTTAGTATACTAAAATTAATCTTACCTGATACCTAAAAATCTTTTCTGATAATGGAGTAATTGTTTTAGCATTTTGATAAATAACTTCTTGTTTTTAAGCCCAGGCCATTCAGCCCACCTGTAACTTCCAATACCAGTCCACCTCCTGCTGCTCCTTTAGCTCGGGCAGAAAGTTCTTCCTCTATCTCATCTTCTGCTTCATTAAGTGCTGCCAATACTCCAACAGTAGGTAAGTGATTATTATCGATTAACATGTGAAAGTTAGCATGATCAGGCTGAGATACTTATTTTTTGTGGGCTGGTAGAGAATTTAACATTAGAAATTTTGGTTTTCTGAATACACACCTGATAATTCAAACTAGCCACATTTTCCTTTTTTTCTTTCATAGCTTATGTTATCTGAATAGAAGAATTGTAACCTTGATAAGCATTGTTGAGAGTCATGAAATTTATAAACTACCAACCAGTGTAAATAGTTGAAGGCAATATATAATGCAGTCCTTTCTACTGTGAACTGGTAATTGAATTCCTAAGAAAGTTTGTGTTTTAAAAACAATTGGCACACTGTAAAAAAGTCATTTTTTTTTGTTGCAGTGAATTATTTTCTTTTTGTAAGAATTTAAACAAAGATTTAAAAGTAGATATTTGGGCATAATGACATAAACCTAAACCTTATCAAACAAATCCAGTATTTTATCTAGGTTTTGCTTAAGACTTTATTCTGTCATCATCTTTATCCAATTCTTCCTACAAATTCTTACTACCTTTCTCATCCACAGAGTAATAAAGTACAAAGCTACTTAAACAAAGCAGCTGTGTTTTGGGAACAAAACTTCTCAGAATTATAACTGTCCCCATTGCTGCTGCTTTTAAGTAGTAATGAGTTTATTCTTGATAATGGAAAATCACTGATTGGCACTAATAGTATAATTCAGTAGTGTTCAAAGTATGGTCCTTGGGCCTGCAGCATCTGTCTGGGAACTTATTAGAAATGTAGAGCTTTTAAATAGAAAATCGGAGTGGGGCTAGCAATCTTTGAACAGGCCTTCTAGGTGACTGGAATGCCTGCTAAGTTTGAAAATCACAGCCCTAATTAAGCTGATTTAATTATATCCAATTTGATTTAGCAGAATTCACACAGGAAAAAGGCATCTTGTATGTGTGGTCATTGTAAAAATGGCATGAATAATATAGGCTGAAATGAGATAAAAAATTGTTTCTAGATTCCAAATATGATATTTGATCTTGCTTTATATATCTTCATAAACAGAATTTTTCCCATTTTTTTAACTTCAGGTAAACAGAATATACCTAATAAGTTTGTCATTTGTTTGCTGTAACAGGCACTTTATTCTTATATTTTGTTTGTATATGTGGTTTTTTTAATTTTTGTTTCTGCAGAATCCGTATTTTTGTCCTATAAGATATAGATGTGTCCTATTAGAAATCACGCAGGTAGTCTGGGTAACCAAAATTAGTTTTAATTCTTTTCCATTATCTCTGGATTATTTGGAAGGCTTTCTATTTGTGATGGAAACTGTAATTTTGATTGAATTGGTACATGCTTATTTTTAGTTTGAGCCAGTGCTGGCAACAGGAGGACAAGTAGTTGACAATGATGATACAGGCAGGCAGGATATAACATGGATTTTGTATAGCAAATGTTCTTTAAGTCTTCCGAAAAAGCTCTCTTTATTGTGATGCTTCTTCAGTTGTCTGTTTAGATTTAAGTTTTTGGTTTTTCTTGTTTCTTGAAAGTATTTTCTTTTCCTGCAATATTTTGTTTTATTTAAATATGGTAGAAGGTGGTAATTTGATTGGGACAGTCTCTGAAATTGAAAAGCACTGTGAGACTTCACAAGGTATTGTATCAAAAGCAAATATATGTTGACTAATGATCCTAAAATGTACCTAAAATACTGTTACCTAATTTTTCCTTTTCCAGCAATATATGGTGTCTCAGAAATCAAGAATAACTCTAAGGTTTAACTCTCAATTTTGTACTAATTAAGTCCAGTTGCTATACAGGATCCATTGATATCAAATCCCTAATATAAAACCATACAGTATTTTTGCATTATCTTCTATCTCCCTGCTCTTCTTTCCTCAGCATTAGGAAATACCAGTAAATCTTACCTCTGAGGCTCTTTGAACCAGAGACAAAGTTATTTGAAAAGGTGAAGATGTCAGTTTAAAAACATTACAATACCTAAACTACCAGAGCAAAAGCTCTCACATCAAAACCCTTTACATAGTGAGCTGAAGTTAGAGCCATAAAGGTAGAAAATAGTTGGGAGTGAGCCTCTCTTTTTTACTTCTGAGCTCAAAGGAATTCCACAAAGATATCCATTGATAATTTCATAACGTATCGCTTAAATTCTCTGCATTTTCAAAATATACAATTGTTTAAGTATTGAGCAGTTAAACCAAAATTAGAATGCATACTCTCCTTATAAATACAAGGAAGGTTTTATTTCTAAAAGATATTATTTTGAATAATACAAATTTAGACATTTTGGGGGAAGGACTTAAGTGCATATTTCCTATGTCAAACACTTTTTTGAAGTATGCATGTGCAGTATGGTCTTGAAAGGAAAACAAAAATAGAAAATACAAAAGGGTATATGCCAAAATGTTAAGTGGAGTTTCAGGTTTTTTCCCAGATTCCCAGTACTTTACTTGCTAATATTTCAATAATGGGCATAATAATTTACAGGGAAACTATTTATAGAATTACCATTTTATATACCCAAATCAGGTAATTGAAAAGAATTAACTTTGTAGTTTATTTTTAATGTCAAAGCAGTAGCGCACATTAATGTTATCAATGACTGTATGTGCACATCAATTTGTATAGGTTATTCAAGGGAAAATAATTAGTTGTCAAGGCCAGCTATTGTGGGACTTTAATACAGTCATTAGGCAAAAAGAGATAAAAGAATTAAAATAGTTAATAGGATATGAAACATCACCCTACTCAGAAATATCTAATGGATGGAAATAGCTTAAATAAAACAGTCCAGTTTAATGTCCTAAAGTATGTGACTGGTAGAATGTGAAACAGTTTAGTATCTGAATGGTTTTGAAGCCATGCTTGAGTAATTTTAGCTCATCAGATGAAGGGCTTTTTCTGTCTGACATTCCTTAACCCAGCCATTCTCTATCATTCTATTTAAAAAAAAAAAAAAGTGACATTCTCCTGATCTTTTTTTGTCCTTTGCATTATGTTCCAATTTGTTTTATGCTCTATGTCTTAACCTCCAGGTTTATACTTGAGGCATCATTGAAACCAGTAATAGAGTCATTTGTGACAAGCTAACATTGTGAATCTGTCTTGGTATTTAATAAATGTCTTTCTGTAGGATTTAACAAATGAATTGTGTATTCTAGGTGTTTCACGAGGTCCCAGCCCTGTGAGCCTTGGAAATCAGGACACTTTACCTGTGGCAGTTGCCCTTACAGAATCTGTTAATGCCTACTTTAAAGGAGCAGATCCCACCAAGTTAGTTTTTAAAAAATAACACCTGTGTGTGTGCGCGTGTGTGCATCAGAGTGTGTGTGTTGTGTGAGGAAGGGGCTTGGTTAATTTTAAGAGTTATATTTTGTTTTTGTAAAAGTTAAGGATTTGTATTACTTGTATACCTACCTTTTGCTATCAAATATAGTCATTGAGGGATTGTCTTTAAATTTAAAAAAAACACTATAATCAGTGTGGTTTTTTTTTTCTTCCCAGATTTTTTATAGGCTTTATAACCAATATGATGCATCTGTTCTTTGACATCTGTAGAGAAGGATGATGGCAGCTGACTTAGATGGGGATAGAACTCTGAATCTTGGCCTAATGTATACCTTTGGTGGAAGGAAGTGTCGTATTTGCAAGAGAGACCTAGAATGCATGTTTAATACATGAAACTCTTGCAGGATTGGTTTAGCCTCATTCTCTTAAAATGATATTTAGATTAATGACTGCTCCAACTTTTCATGTGTAACAGCCATTCAGCATACATTCATTCATTAAATATTTGAGTGCTTACTGTATGTAAGATTGTTGTAAACTAGTATTATCATGAAAGAAAGTTTATTAGTTTTCACTCATGGTAAAATGAAGTTCTTCTCCCAAGAGCTTATATTGTTTACTTAAAGTATCCTTAGCACTTACAACAGTCTTGCAGATAGTAAGCACTCAAATATTTGATGAATGAATGTATGCTGATGACTAATGTTATGCATGAAAAGTAGCAGTATTGATGTATGCTGTGAAGAAAAATAAATAGAGAATTATAATAAAGGGCTACTATATGAGATAGAATGATCAGAGAAAACCTTGAGGTTAAGTTAAGCAGATGTTTCAAAAACATTGAGGAGCAAACCATGCAGATATCTGAGGGAAGAGCATTCCAGCAAGTAGAAGGAACTGAGGTAGAAGTGTGCTTGGCATATTCAAGTATCACTAAGGCAGACAGTAGTCAAAGACAAATCCATGGTCCCAACTAGGAACTGTAAACCATGATAAGGAATTTGGAATTTATTGTAAGTTAGGTGGGAAGCCAGTGGAGGCTTTTGAGCAGAGGAGTGATGAGGTTACTTAACATTTTTGAAGAGCACTCTGGCTGTTATATGGAGAATAAACTAGAAGGAGCCAAGAGTAGATGCAGAGAGAGAGGGGGTTAAGCATAGAAGTCCAGGTGACAGGTGATGGTAGCTTGTCTAAGGGTATTAGCAGAGGAGATGGTGAGTAGTAACGAGGTTCTGAAGATATTTTGAAAAAGTTGTTAAGATTTGCTGAAGGAGTAGTTTGCTAAGTTTGAAGTAACTAAGGCAACTTAGTGAAGATATTAAGTTGATAGTTGAATATGTGATTCTGGAGTTAAGGGCATAGGTCCAGGCTAGAGATAAAATATTTAGCAGTCATTAACTTGCATATAATACTTAAAGCTAAGGGCCTCAGGGAGTAGAGAAGAGAGCTGATAAGAACTACATCCTAGCCCCTTCCTGTGTTTAAAAAAAAGGAAGATGAAAATGATCCAGCAAAGGAGCTTGAGATAGCAAGAAACAAGGGAGTGAGGAGAAAAACCTGTAGAACAGTGCCCCAGAAAGTAAGAATCAACCCTTTCATGAAGGAGGATGTGAAGCTGTATCTGATGTTGTTGGCAGGTCAGGAAAATTTACCACTGACAACATGGAGGTCATTGGTGACCTTCACAAGAGCAATTTTAATGGAGTGGTGGAGATGAAAACAAGCTTGGAGGGAGTTCAGGAGATGATGCAAATACAGACAACTATATTTGGAAAGAACAAATGTAGACAACTCTCACAATGCTTTGCTCTAAGTGGAAGCAGAGACATGGGATTGTAACTGGATAAAAAGAGAGTTGAATCAGAGGAGGGTTTTATTTTAGTTTTTGTATTTCTTAAAGATGGTATGTTTCAGTATGTCTGTATACTAATGGCAAAGATCCCAAATTTTATGGAAGAAATTGAACCTGCAGAAAGGAGAGGGGTTAGTTGTATGAGTGGAGTCCTTTAGTATGTAAGAAGAGATGAGCTTTAGTGCAGAAGCAACAGGATTGGCCTTAGTTATGTAAACTGATCATCTCTTGAAACTGGAGGGGAAGGCAGAAGGTATGAATACATAGTGATGCAGTAGTTTAATAGAGAATGAGGAACAAGTTTCTTGAATTTATTTCCTTAGAAAAATTTGAGGTCATTGTCTATGAGTTGGGGGAGGGAATATTGCAGGTTAGAGAAGAAAGGTGAAGGTATGAAAAGATCTGGGAAATGAAATGTTGAATTGTCAGGTGACACTACAGGGCCCAGTTGAGAGGTTTGCCTAAATGGTTGTTTTTCTCTAGTCATGCTCACCTGTAGGTGAGGAGTTCATTTTAGTCAAGACTGTGTTTTGCCAGGCAAGCAGAGTCAAGTGAAAAAAAAAGCAAGGGAGGGTTTATGCAAAGGATCATGTATAATGATGGCCTAGGAAATACCTAGGTAAGAAGAAATGAGAATATAAAGGAATGAGTGAAGATTAGTGACAAAGGTGGTAGGGACAATGGGTGGTGGAGGTTCTGATGAGGTTGGAGAATTGTTGGAAATGTAATACCAGACAGAATGAGTTGGGAAAACTAGGAAGTGGAGATTAGATGAGTGGGGAGTCTGAAATTGAGATTATGGAGGGGCTGCAGGGTGGCTGAGGTGGGTTGGAATCACTTGAAGTAAGGAGCTGAAGAACTAGGTGACCAAGGTATTGAAAAGATTGTCTGAGTGGATGTTGAAATCACTAGAAATTGTGATAGCAGTAGTGATACAGAGATTGACAACAAACCAGTGGCTAAAATTTTCAGAAAATGAGAGTTTTGACATGACTTGAAAAGGATGGGGTAGCAAGTAGTTTAGTCTGGTGGTAGGAGTTTCAGAAGAAGCTTGTGGTTTTAGGGAAGAAGAAAGAATATGGAGTTGGAAGAGGCAGTGAGACACCAAGGAGGACATCTACCACTGCCACCATCAGACCCAATACTTTGTGCAGTTTGGAGGGAAAAAAATAGCTGCAGTGGGGGATTGTGGAAGCACTGTCCTTAAGGGACAGCCAGGGAATGTTTTTGGTGAACAAGTGAGGGACTGTTTACAGTGTACTTTTATTTGTGTTTGGAGTTTAATTTAATTCTAGGAAAAGATGATGCTAGATGAGTATGTTATTTCACATAGAATAATTTTTTTATAATTATGTTGAAAAAATAATTTCATAATTATGATAAAAGATCATTTAGATATATAAAAAGCTTTTTAAACCAAATAGGTTCTAAATGGAGATAAAACTGTCTTTTAAAACACTTAAATTTTTCAAAATCCCCAATTTCAGGTGTATTGTGAAGATCACTGGTGACATGACAATATCATTTCCAAGTGGAATTATTAAAGTCTTCACTGGCAATCCATCTCCAGCTGTGCTATGCTTCAGGGTGAAAAATATTAGCAAACTAGAGCAAATTCTTCCAAATGCACAACTTGTGTTCAGGTTTGTGTACTTTTGTTTTCAAGGTAAAATTTCTTTTTAAGAAATACTTCCTTCTTCTTGGAAGCAATATTCTGTTTGAAGGCAATATCAAAATTATTTATTATGATTAAACAGCCCTCTGTCTTTTTGTTTTGTTGTTGGTGGTGGTAATTTTTGTTAAACACCTCGCTATTGTCCGTCCATCATCATCTTTCAGGTAAAGCTTCTGCTATGTTCTATTCTTTATCCCCCAACTTTAGTTTTTGCTCATTCCATCTTTTGATTCATTTCTACTGCCCTTTCCAAGGTCACTACATTATAACAAAGAGGCAAAAGGTAAAAATAAGGCAAATAAAATAACAAAAATATTTCTTATATATACAGTGATCCATCACAGTGTGATTCTAACACAAAAGATTTTTGGATGAACATGCAAGCTGTCACTGTCTACCTCAAGAAGCTATCAGAGCAAAATCCAGCTGCTTCTTACTTTAATGTAGATGTATTAAAGTATCAGGTGAGTGTCCTTTTATTCTGAAATTCCTACATTAAAATATTAACAATAGAATCTTGCAGATTATTAAATGAATAATATGTCATAGCCAAATGCTCATTCTAGGAATGTGGGGATTTTTCAATGTTAGAAAATCTTTTAAGCCTATGAAGATTTTGACCAGTTTGATCAAATTCATCATCTGTTACAGATTAAAATACTGAGTAAATCTATGAATGTGTCCTTAAACTGAAAGGACTATTAGCATTACTCTTAATAATGAAACACCTAAAGCAATCAAAGTTAGGAATGGCAAAGACATCCATGATTTCTTTCTGTTAGTGTATAAGATTTGTCTGGATGTGTAAGTACAATTACACAAGAGAAGAAAAAAACAGTAATAAATATTGGAAAAGAGGAACCAAAATTATTACTACATATAAGTGATACATAGTTGGAAAATTCCAGACAATCTAGAAGCTATTTGTTATAGGAGAATTTAGTTAAGTGGTAAGTTTAAAAATTCATACAAAAGTTACTATCTTTTAAAATAACCAGTTATGAAAACTAATGGAGAAAAAAATACAATAAAAAACCAAATCAGACCTAGAGAGAGGGAGCCCAGGATAGTGACATAGGAAAATCCGGAATCACCTCCTTCCACAGACACACCAAATCCACAGCTACATACAGAACATTTTCCTCTGTGAAAGACCTGAAAATTAGCTGAACAACTCCTCATCAAGAAAGGAAACAAAGTCCACATTGAGGTGGGTAGGAGAGGCTAAAGATTCGCACTAAACCCTACCCCTGGATCAGAAGGGAACTCACAAACCTGTAGCTTCTCCCTGAGGAGCCAAGGGTTCATATCCCACATCAGGCACCCAAACTTTTGAGGTCCTGCACCTGAGAGATGAGCCCCCAAAACATCTGGCTTTGAAAATCAGTGCCTCCTCAAGCCTCAAAGGCCTATAGTGATCTAAGAAGCGGCTCTGAAATGGCTTGCACATGGACTCAGTGAGTGCCCAGTGCAGAAGCAGCTATTTGAGAGGCATCTAGACTATATGTAAAAGAGATTCATTTACTAATCCTGAACTATGAGCCAGAGAGTCTGGGACCTGTTGGGATACTCTCTCCAGACAGAGATGCTGGTGGGTACCATTCTAGTGTTCTCCCTCTCCCTTGGTAAAACCAGCGGGTGCCATATATATGTGTTTGTGTGTGTGTGTGTGTGTGTGTATATATATATATATATATATTCTGTATATAAAAATATATATATAAATTTGTATATATAAAATGTAATACTTATATATACACACATTTTATATATATATATATATATAAATATAAAATATATATTTAACTCTTAAGACTTCATATTTCCTTGGTGGGTACCATGTTAGCATGTCCCTTTGCCACATAAGTCTCTCCAGGAGGTGAGCTTTTAAACATATCTGAGCCCCAGTTTTAGTGGCTGCAGCCTAGGGGATGTCCTTTAATCACCTGGCTGTGGAGGTCAGGGTTGGGGGCTTGTGTTCCACGATCCCATGGGACTGTAACAATCAGAAAGACACTTCTTGTCAGGCTTCCACCCCGAGGGCACTGCACAGACAGCAGACTGAAACACACCCCCAGTCATTCTGTAAAGAGGCCTATTTACTCATCTGGTAGCTTTGGCCTGAGGGCAGGCTTCACATTTGGGACACATCTGGAGACCTGCAGAGGTGCTCTCAGAGAATGTAGGCTGGGTCATGCTATCTTTACACTTACCCTCTGCCTTGCTACAGCTTAGTAGTTTCTTCCAGAAAAGAGCTTATACACTTATTTGGAGCCTAGATTTTTACGACATTTACCCAGGGGACACCTCCAGTTTTCCTGGTCTGATGGCCAGCAGGGCTTATGTTGTGGTCCCACAGCACCATATATATTTGCATACTTCAAGAGCTGCTGCCTGAGGGTCTGGCTTACAGTCAGCCTGAATCTAGGTGCTGACTGATATCCTCCCTTATGGGACACAGGTCTTCACACACCCTCAACAGAGAGCCACTAAAAATAAAATAGGCTGCTTGGACAATCACAAAGGTTTGAGAGACAATCGAGCTATGACAAGGTTGAACAAAAAGGTTCATCTACACAGTACCATTCCTTCAAGACTGGGAGAGGTGGCTGTTTCATTTAATACATAGAAACAAATAGAGTCAAGCAAAATGACAGGAGTATGTTCGAAACTGAAGAAGAGGAAATCTCAGGAAAAAATCTTAGTGAAACAGAGATAAGTAATTTACCAGTAGGGTTCAGTGTCTTCATCCTAAAGATGCTCACCAAACTCAGGAGAATGAATGAACAGTGAGAACTTCAACAAAGAAAGAAAATGTAAGAAATAACCAAATAGAAATCAGAGCTGAAGAATAATACAACTGAGCTGGAAAAATACACTTATAGGGGTTTGGCAGTACACTAGATGAAGCAGAAGAAAGGATTGGTGAACTCGAATACAGAGCAATTAGAACTCACCCAACCAGAGCAGCAAATAGAAGGAATTTTAAAAAGTAAAAGTAAAGACAGCTTAAGGGACTTAGGAAAAATACCAAGTGGACTAACATTTGCATTATAGGGGTTCCAGAAGAGGTAGAAAGGGGCAGAAAACTTACTTAAAGTATTGATGGCTGAAAACTGTCACCTGGGGAAAGAAAGACACATCCAGATTTAGGAAGCAGAGAGAGTTCCAAATAAGATGAACTGAAAAAGACCCACACCAGGACACATTATAAGTAAAAATGTCAAAAGTTAAAGACAAAGAGAATCTTAAAAACAGCAGGAGAAAAACAACTTGTTACACATAAGAGAATCCCCATAAAGCTATCAGCAGGTTTTTCACCAGAAACTTTATAGGCCAGAAGGGAGTGTCACACTATATTTAAAGTCCTGAAAGACAAAAACCAAGTATTCCAACTAAGAATACTCTGCATGGCAAAGTTTTCATTCAGAATTGAAGGAGAAATAGAGGGTTTTCCAGATAAGCAAAAGCAAAAGGAACTAAACCAGCCTTACAAGAAACGTTAAAGGAATTCTTTAAGCTGAAAAGAAAGAATGCTAATTAGAAACAAGAGAACATAGGAAAGTATAAATCTCACTGGTATAGGCAAATATAGTCACTTATGAACATAGTGTGAAGGTTAAAAGCTTAAAAGTAGTAAAAAATAACTATAACTACAATTATTAGTTAAGGGATACACAAGGTAAAAAGATATAAAATATGACAAAAAACAAAATGGGGAGGAATGAAAATGTAGAGGTTTAAGGACATGTTCAAATGTAAGATGTTATCAGCTTAAATAGACTATTACAAATATAGGTTTTTATTGTAAGCATCATGGTAATGATAAAGCAAAAACCTGTACTAGATACTCAAAGGATGAGAAAAGAGTATAAGCCAATACTACTAAAGAAAGTCATGAAACCACAAAGGAAGAGAACAAGAGAAGAAGAAAGGAAATACAAAACAGCCAGAAAAACAATGAACAATAAGCCAATAAGTACATACCTATCAGTAATTACTTTAAATGTAAATGGCCTAAATTCTCAAATCAGAGTGGGCTAAACGGATGATAAAAATAAGACCCATCTGTGTATGCTGCCTAAAAGACTAGTATCGGATATAAGGACTCAGACTGAAAGTGAAGGGATGGAAAAGGATGTTCCATGCAAATGGAAACCAAAAGAAAGTTGTGTTAGTTTTACTTATGTCAGATAAACTAGACTTTAAAGCAAAGACTGTACTAAGAGACAACGGCATTACTAAATGATAAAGGCATCAGTCCAACAGGAGGATTTAACATTTGTAAATATGCACCCATCATAGGAGCACCTAAAGTATACAAGCAAATATTAACAAACCTAAAGGGAAAATATAGCAATACCATAATAGCAGGGGATTTAAATACCCATCTACATTAATAGATATCCAGGCAGAAAGCCAATAAGGAAACATCGGCCTTAAATGACACATTAGACCAGATAGAGTTAACACATACATATAGGACATTCCATCTAAAAGCAGCAGAATACATATTCTTCTCATTGTGCACAATGAATATTGTCCAGGCTACAACTTGTTTTGTGGCCTAACATGACCTTTACATTTAAGAAGATTGAAATTAAACCAAGCATTTTTTCTGACTGTAATGTTATGAAACTAGGAATCAATTACAAGAAGACTGGAAAATTAACAAATGTGTGGAGAGGTAACAATATGATGCTGAACAACCAAAGGCTCAATGAAGAAACCAAAAGCGATCTTTAAAAAAAAAAAATACCTTGAGAAAATTAAATGGAAACAACAATATATCAAAATTTAGGGGATGCACCAAAAGCAGTTCTATGAAGAAAGTTCGTATTGATAGATGCCTACCTCAAGAAACAAACAAAAAATGCCTAACTTTACAATTTAAGGATCTAGAAAATGAAGAAAAAATGAAGCCCAAAGCTAGTAGAAGGAAGAAAATAAACACCAAAGCAGAAATAAATGAAATAGCAACAACAAAAAAAGAAAAATCAATGAAACTAAGAAATGGGTCTTTGAAAAGATAAACAAAACTGACAAACCTTTATACTCACCAAGAAAAAAGGAGAGGGCTCGAATAAAAGCAGAAATGAAAGAGGAAACATTACAAGTGATTCCACAGAAATACAGACTATAAGAGACTGCTATGAACAATTATATGCCAACAGATTGGACAACCTAGAAGAAAAGGATAAATTCCTGGAAACATACAACCTTCCAAGACTGAATCATGATACAGAAAATCTGAAAAGACCATTACTAGTAAGGAGATTAAATCACTACTCAAAACCTCACAACCAAGGCCAGGACTAGATGTCTTCACTGGTAAATTCTGCCAAAGATTTAAAGAATTAATACCAATCTTTCTCAATCTCTTCAAAAAATAGAAAAGGAGGGAATACTTCCAAACCTAATTTATAGGGCCAGTGTTATTCTAAAACCAAAACCAAGGACAAGGACACGACAAAAGAAAATTATAGGCCGGTATCCCTGATGAACATAGATGCAAAACATCCTCAACAAGATATTAGCAAACCAAATTCAACAAATACATTGAAAGAATCATACACTATGATCATGTGGGATTTATTGCAGGGATTATCTGCAAATCAATGTGGTACACCGCATTAACAAGAAGGGTAAAAATCACATCTCAGTAGATAGCAGAAAAAGCATTTGACAAAACTCAACATCCATTTATGATAAAAACTCCCAATAAGGTAGGTATAGAAGGAATGTAACACAATATAATAAAAGCCACATATGACAAGCCCACAGCAAACATATTCAGTTGAATAAAATCTGAAAACTTTTCTTTTATGATCAGGAATACAAGGATGTCCACTCTTGCCATTTTTATTCAATATGGTATTGGAGGTCTTAGCCAGAGCAATTAGGCAAGAAAAATAAATAAAACACATTAGGTTTGGAAAGGAAGAAGTAAAATTGTTACCATTTGCAAATGACATTATATATAGAAAACTCTAAAGACTCCACCAAAGAAACATTTAGAATAAATTCAGTGAAATTGTAGATTATGAAATCAGTACACAAAAATCTTTTGCATTTCTGTACACTAATAAACTATCAGAAAAATTAAGAAAACCCTATTTACAATTGCATCAAAAATAATAAAATACCTTGGTATAAATATAACCAAGAAGATGAAAGATGTATACATTGAAAACTGTAAAAGAAGATGAAAATAATTGAGGAAAACAAATTCCATGTTCATGGATTGGAAGAATTAATATTGTTAAGATGTCCATACTATCCAAAGCAATCTACAGATTCAGTATAATCCCTATCAGAGAGCTACACATGTATAATGGAATACTATTTGGCCACGAAAAAGGACAAAACCTTGCCATTTGCAACAGCAGGGATTGAGGACATTATGCTAGGTGATATGTAAGTCAGCAGAGAAAGACAAATACTACATGGTATCACATATGGATTTAATAAACAGACAAATAAAAAGCCAAGGTTGCAGATAACAGATGAAAGATTGGTGGTTGCCAGAGTTAGGGGTTGGGAGGCTGGTGAAATGGATGCAGGGCATCAAAAGGTACAACTTCAGTTATAAAGAATTCATGGGGATGTAATTTACAGCATGGTGCCTAAGAATAATAATATATTTCAGAATTGCTAAGAGTAGATCTTAGAAGTCCTCATTATGAGAAAAATAATTTTTGTGACTATATGTGGTGATGGATGTTAACCAGAGTTACTGTGATGATCACTTCACAGTGAATACAAGTAGTTTAGAATGCTTCATCCTATTTATCATTGATTCAACAAACATTTATTATTCAGTGCTTGCTGATTGCTTGTCGTAATATGGGGAGATAGATGGTAACCTAATAAGTAAACGATTATGTTGTGGTAGCAAGAAAGGAAAAAGTGTGTAGAATAAGGTAAGGCAGACTGAAAATGCAGTTTTCATTGTAAATTTAAACAGGGTGATCAGAGTAGGTCCCTTTCAAAAGAAGTCATTTGAGGAAGAAACTGAAGAATTGGAAGGAATTTTGCATCATATTAATTGCAAGGAAGGAAAATTGCATCAATAATAATTTTAAATCTCTTAGAATCTTTTCCTATAACCAAAATAAATGTTTGTTGAATAAATGATAAATAAATACTTGGAATAAACTTTAGGCCAACTTAAACAGCACAGTTTTGCTCTGTTTCCTAGAAACATAAGCTACTGGGTCTTGTATTTAAAACTAAACTTTTGAAGTTGGAAGTATTCAATTCCAGGTATACAAGACCTGCATCCTTTTTTCTCTTTTAAATTTAAATTCTTAAAATTCATAAAGAATCTTAGAATTCTGTGTTGAATGTTGAGAAGTATTCAAACATTACATGCATAAATAAGAATCATCTGATGACATGGTGATTTCTGGGCCCTGTACCTGGGCTGTTGAATCAGATTTTCTGCATTTGGTGCCAGGGGAATTTGTATTTAAACAAGCACCACGGAAGTTTTGGTGCAGGTAGTCATAGGTCCACACTTTCAGAGTGACTCTTACTCCTTTGAGATGAGTCCTCTTTACTCTGTCTAGCAATAGCGCCCTCATTATTTTGATTCTGTGAGCTCTTGTTTTCAAGTATATGTGTCGTTAACATGACTTGTTTACTTTTCAGGCCAAAGACAATTGTTTGTTTTCTCATTAAAGGTATCATCAAATGGTATTCAGTCCACTCCTCTAAATCTTGCAACATACTGGAAATGTAGTGCTGGTACCACAGATCTTAGAGTGGATTATAAGTACAACCCAGAAGCTATGGTGGCACCAAGTATACTTTCCAACATACAGGTGGTGGTACCAGTGGATGGAGGGGTCACAAATATGCAGTCTCTTCCCCCTGCAATATGGTAAATGAAGCAGATTTCTCAATTGCTGCTAAGTTTGTGTTGCGACCCCCAACTTTTAGACCCCAAGTTCTGAAAGTTGTAAGTTTGAAAAGCTTTAGTGCATTTTCCCAGATAACCCCTGCTATAAAAGATGATATTTATTTCACTAGTCAAGCCATGGTAGCCTCAGTACAGAAATAAATAAAACTAGCCTTGTCACCACCCAGACTTGAATGATTCAGTACAACTTTGCCTGTGTGCAAATTGTGTGACCTTTCTAAACTTCTTTTTTTTAAAGAAAAAAGATAATACTAAATGATAAAGGCATCAGTCCAACAAGAGGATTTAATATTTGTAAATATGCACCCATCATAGGAGCACCTAAAGTATATAAGCAAATATTAATTAGGCATTCAAGAGGCCTAATATTAACCTTTAAAGGGTTAAATACAGCATCTAGCATATTAGAGGAACACATCTATTTAGTATTAGTTACTCCATCTCTTAACTACCTCTTGTTCCCTCTATTATTAGAAGTATAGACTACTATATTTGCTTAATTGATAAAAGTATGTTTTCCTTGAGTAATGTAGGTACTAAGCCATCTATGTTCCTTTATCTAGTAGAAATTAGAAGAATTACATAATTTGGTAAATTTCCATTAATTGAGAAAGAATATAGCATTATATCTATTTATATCATAAACACACTTTCACCAGGTGATACTCCTGAAAGTAAATTTAATGCATTTCAGTGCCCATCCATGTAGAAGATACCATACTTAATCTGAAAATATTTGTTCTTACAGGAATGCAGAACAAATGAAAGCCTTTTGGAAACTGTCTGGTATTTCAGAAAAATCAGATAATGGAGGTAAGTGTGTGCATGCTTTTTTTTGAATAATTTGATGTTACTGAAAATGGATTTTTAGGAATGTTTATGGAAAGTTTTCTCCTGGAACTTCATGTGTTCAGTTCTAGAATCAACCACTAGGTGGAAGTTAACACCTTAAATAAGAGTGGACCAGTTGAGATTCAGAGTATTTTTCCCCTCTAGATTGAATAGGCTTTCTCTGTAAGAAAAAGAATTTGTTTTGCTGTAACCTTATCCCTAATATGTAAATATTTCTTATGTTCATATGCTAACATTAAGAAAAAAATACCTAATAAATTAAAGAAATAGATCTATCCCACACAGGTAATCTGATGACTTATTGAAACAGATTTAACACACTCTTTAGACTTACTCTGTTAATAGGGTCTCCCAGGACCCCCAGAAATCATGTAGATGCTTCTAGACTTTAAAAAGCTCCCTTGCCTACTCCATCTTCCTAAGATAACCTTTCTTGGTCATTTCTCCTTAGTAAAACTAACTAACCAACTGCCTTCAATTCCATGATAATTATTTTAAGGAGAAGCAGGTAGGTTAGTTGCCTCTTTCTACCAAATCTGCGTCTGTTTTTGATCACAGTGCAAAGGAAAAGACTGCTAGCTGATCACTCCTAGTATCTCCCCTAACTCAGTTTAGAATTCTCAGAATCAAGTCTTTAACGTTAATTATTCACATTTTTCTTAATGAGAAGAGAATTCTTCTATCCTCTTGAATGCCTAATTAATCTCCAATAACATCTCCTATTAAGTAGGTTTTTTTGGCTCTTCAAGTTTGGTAAGCTTTTTCTGTTTGAACATTTTAAGCATGATATGATCAAAACATAAAACATCAGTTATTCTCATAGGCATTTTTGCATAAAGGCCAGAAACATAATCTGTATTTATTCACTATAAATCTGTCAATGGTGCCTTTTTCTAGAGAACTACGCATTGGGTGAAATACTGAAGGCAATCTGCAATTTTGTGTTGCTGTTTGGTATTTATAGGTCGCCTATTTTCAGGTGGCTGACTGTACTTTTATGCCAACTATATGGCCTTTGAGGGGACAAAACTGAAATTCCTAGTTGAAACTTGAAGTAAACCAGAAATCCTACTTCAATTGAGGGCTTGTAACTAGTTAGTAGGAAAGACAGGATGTATTTTTCCTCTATTTAATGAAACTTAAATTCTTAGCAGGAGGATAATTCATTCTCTCAAAAATAAGACAAATTTTCTAACTAGGTATTTTAGTAGTTATCCTCTGTTGTTTCAGATATCAGAGTGTCTGTGTGAGGAAATGGAAAAATCGTACAAATGTGGTTCTGATTTGGTTAGTCAACTTTTAAAAAGAAATATCCAAATTAGGATACTGTAAAATAGAAATCTGTTTCTGTTCTGGCTTTATGTCCAGAAGAGGGACCAGAAATAATTGTAAAGTTTAAGGATTGCCAAGGTCACTGCTCTTTGCCTGTGGTAGAACTTCCACAGAATTGAGTTGCATTTCAACAATTATACAAGTTTAGGAAGGGCTTAGACAGTGGTTAAGAATTAGGCATCAGGATCACGGGAAGATGGCGGCATGAGTAGTTCAGAGGAAATCTCCTCCCCAAAACATATGTATTTATGAAAATACAATAAATACAACTATTCCTAAAAGAGACACCAGTGGATGCAGTACAACAGCCAGGATACATCTACATGTACGAGAACTCAGCATCACACGAAGGGGGTAAGATATAAGCCGCGACCAGGCAGGACCCAAACGCTCCCCCACCCCAAAACCTGGCAGGAAGAAAGCAGTCAGAACAGGGAGGGAGTGAAAGCCCAGGACTGCTAAACAACCAGCTCTAGAAATCCGCACCCGGAACGCAGACACAAGGTGCACAGGGTGCTGGATATTAGAGAAACGGAAAAACAAAACCTGTGGGCAGGTCCCCGCAACTGGCACCCCTGAGACAAAAGAAAAGCGAGTGCTTTCTGCAAGTCTTAAAGAGACAGGGAACCCAAAGCTGGACGAAATTGTCCAGGCAGCTGGGAATACCGAGGAAACTTAGGTGCCCTAAATGGAGGCAGTGCAGCTCTGAAGCCCCTCACAGGACTAGGCAGCCTGCCAGCCGTTCCTCCAACTGGTGTGGACTCCGACACACGTGCCCAGTAGCAGGAGAGTGGGAGCTCGCGCTGGGGGTGGAAGCGCTAGAAGGAACCGAGAGCAGATCCGTGCGCCACAGGGCTAGCCCGCAGCAGTGTGACTGAACAGTCCAGGCGCGGCTCGCACACACCGGTGGCAGTGAAGCCAGAGC